CGTGGAGTTTGCTACGGAGGCTCAACAGAACAACTTCATCAACCAATCAAAAAGGGAGGTAAAGCAATCCCGTTTTATGTGCTTAACTACTTTAGCGCTACTATGGATTGATACTGTGATGCGTGACATATTTGCAAGAATTGGAATATCTAGAATGTTTGAAATGCAATATGTGACATATCCTCATTTGGTGTATGAATTTTTTAGCTCATTTGCGTATACAAAAGATGTGAATGATCATGCAAATGACATAATCACCTTTCGTTTACTAAATGAGGATCGTTCATTAACCAAACGAGAATTTGTTCAACATTTTGGTCTCCCATGGTTTGATGAAGCACGTACATATGATTCTCTTGTGGGGTATGAATTGTGGAGAAGAATGACCGGCAAGAATGTGGTTGATCTATCTAAATTGAGTGTGAATCGTGTGCAACATCCGGTCTTCCGACTATTCTTAAAATTTTGCTCAAATTGTTTCCTCGGAAGACCGAATAATCATCACACACGTATCTGGGATGTGTGTGTTCTAGCACAAGCTGTTTTGCCGGGTCCAAATCAAGTTGATGTTGCCACCATCTTATGGACTCATTTCAACAACGTGGCAACATCAACAGGACCAATTGCTATGGGGGGCCTCATCACACATCTAGCCACTTTATATGGTTTTATAGACCCCGGCCCCATCACCTCAAGACATCTTATTTGCACTGAATGGCTTTTACAAAAGACGCTAGACTTGGTCCCCTCGCACACAACACCAACTGGGGCACACATCTATAATTGGCGCATTCTCCCACACACTTCCATCTACCTCCAGATACCCTCAGCCGACGTCCCCCTGGATATCATCAACCACCAAATCGGGGATGGTCATCACTATTGTCTTCCCGGGGCAATCCCGGATCATTATGAAGAACCCATCCACGATGAAGATGATGAAGAACCCCCAATCATACCCGAACAACCACAACCTCAAGCATTCCACTACACACCTTTCGAGCAACAAATGCTCGATAACATGGTCACGCTCAACCAGAGCATTGTGAGGATGGAGGAGCAGCGGCAAGCAGACTGGCGTAGGTATGAGGAAGACAGACGGAGATCTGAGGAGGATCAGCGTAGAACCTTTGGTCCGATATACTCATATATAGCACACCAGGGCTCCTTTTCCTCTATGACCACTCCACCTCCTGCACCATCATGGTATGACCCCTCTCAGTGGGATTTCTTTGAAGGATCGAGCTCCGGTGGTGGAGGCTACGATGGTGGTTATGGCGGGGATCACATGGATGAGGACGGACACCAAGGTGGAGGTCTAGGCGGACACTAGGGACAGTGTCAGATCCTAAGTGTGGGGGTGAAGAGATCTTCCCGGTATGTTCACATTCACACTCTTTATTCTTGTTATCTCAAAAAAAAAACAAAAAAAAAACGAAAGCTTGTTGAGTTGAAAACCCACAAAGGGCAGCTTAAGCAAAAATAAAGCAAAAATAAGAGTGAGTTTGTGAGATTTGAAAAAATAAAAATAAAAATAAAAATAAAAAAATGTAGGAAGCTGGGTTGAAAACCGGAAAGGGCACCTAGGCAAAACGAGAGAATGAGAGAAATTTCTATTTTGCAGGATCCTGAAGGTGATAAGTTCAAAAGAGAAATGGAGATAAAGATGAGGTTGAAGACCCCAATTTACTTTAATTATTATTTGGGGATGCTTTGTATTGTGGTAAAAACACTCTTGGATGTTTTGTATTCATATTCTTGTCATCTAGGACTTCTTGGATTTGATTTGATTTACTCGAGACGAGTAAAGGTTTAAGTGTGGGGGTGTTTGATGCACACTAATTAGTAGTGCATAATTACATGTTTTTTATGTGTGATTTATGTTAATTGTTTGACGTTTTATTTAGTTTGTAAACATTTATGTGATTTCAAGTTGTAATTGTATTTTAGTCTATTTGTGTCAGTTGTAAAGTTTAGTTAGGATTTATGGTTTGGAAAGGAAGACTTTGAAGTGAAGAAAAAGAAGATTTGGCTGCCCAGGAGCAAACACCCGAGCGGGTATAATACTTGACCCGGTCGGGTAAGAAGTGAAAAACGAAAATGCAAAGAAAGTGCATGGCCCGGTCGGGCCCACTACCTCACCCGGTCGGGTGAGAAGTGACCGGGGACAACCCGGTGTGCAAAGATCACCCGAACGTGTAGAAAATCCAATTTTTGCACTCACCCGGTCGGGTCCCATACTCGACCCGGTCGGGTCAGACATGACCCGGAACACCAGAACATGCTAAAGATCACAAAGATTTTGAAAAAATCTGATTTAGACCAAACCCGGTCGGGTCCCTCACTTGACCCAGTCGGGTCTGACTTGACCCGGACAAATTAACGTGCTGGAACAATGAAACGTGGGAGATTATCTGATTTTGACCGGTACCCGGTCGGGTATGTACCTATACCCGGTCGGGTACCCGGCCAAAGGTGTTGAAAAACACCTATAAATAGCACTCTTTTTCTCCTCTTAAAAGCATCCCTTCTTCAATTCTCTTTAGCTCAGTTTAGAATAGCATTTCTTTATATTTTTCTAGCTATGTTTAGCCTCCAAATGAGGAGCTAAACTTCCATTCTTGGTGTTGCTCTTGAAGCTTGTTGATTATTAAAGTTGTGAGTTATTTTCTTAACTTCTTTCCTTGAATATTAATTAATAGTTCTTTCCTTAATACCATCTCTATATTGATGTTGAGGAGTGTTGCTAAGATGACAATTAGTTAACATCTCGACATTAGTTAGAATGATATTTTCTTCCTCTATATTAATATTGGGGAGTGTTGCTAAGATGACAATTAGTTAACATCTTGATATTAATTATAGTAGGATTCATCTTCTTTAATAAATATTCTTCCTTGAATATCAATTAATTCCTACTCTTATTTCATATTAATATTTTGAACATTACTTAAAGGATCAACTAGTTTTGTTTCATATATTAATTATTACTAGAAACGATCAACGAACCGATGGTTAATCGTTGATGGTTTCACAAGTAAGTAACTTCGGTTTATTAATGCACGGTCGTGGTTAATAAACTTAAGAGGGATTAATTTTGTTGGTTAAACCGAAACCGCTTGTGTTGAGGTTATCAATCTCAATTGATTTCATCAAGGAGTTAGAAAGATTAAATGCTACTATTAAATCGGTATACGGCGTTGTTCTATATTTGATTAATAGTAAGGGTTATTAATGAACGGTCGTTGTTAATAACTACCCTCGATGAAGTGGATATACTCCTCGATTGAGTATTCGAGAGGGAATAAGTTATAGATATAACAATGATCGACTAAAATATATCAACAAGTGGAAAGTAGCAATGCCAAGTCCTTTTTATCTTTGAATTAAACACATATAGGTTGTTCATCTTAGTTTCTTAATTGAATTAAATCACTCAAAACCAAAAGCCCCCTTTTAATCTAGTTCCATAGAAAGAAAATCATTCCTTTCCCTGTGGATACGAACTCTACTACGCTATACTACGTATAAGTGTTTAGTATTGAAATTATTTTGACGCACCGTGACAAAGTGCTCGTCACATTGATACGCCATTTTAAAAATGAGTATAACGTCAGTACCAAATGAGCATATGTAACTTAAGAAATGCGCAATGATATGAAAATCGTAAAATTTGTTAGTTGAACATCACGACATTTTCATTGAGCATCAAACCTCATATATCGAGATGAAAATCATAGTTTCTGTAAAATGAATAATAATGAACTTTTAATGAGCATCCGACCTATTCTGTCGAGTATTAAGAGTCTAATATTGAGCATCATGATTTCTGCTTCATAACTTCTGATTCACTTTCTTTTTCTTTTTTTTCTTTTATAAAAATTTATTAAATTATATCTATAATCAACTCCTATGGATTCCGATATATGAATCTAATTTAATAATAAACTTTTGAAATATGCATTCAGATGAAAATCGTAAGCTTTGCTCGTTGAGCATAAAAACATTTTCATTGATAATAAAGTCTCCTCTATTGAACATTGGAGCTCTGCAATTGAGGATAAAAACTTCAAGACATATATATTAAGCTTCAAAACATCTTCATTGAATAGTCAGCCATAATAATAATGTTTATCTCAAAGCGTTATATTGATGTACATTCCGTGTAAATATTATACTCATTTGGTTATAGAGAAAAACTCATTTTATAATCTTTCACCCATGAACATTTATTATAATTAAGCACTATACTCATTTTAGTTTAACCAAAATCAAATTAATGTAACTAGCTTCATGTACTCAATATATATTGAATTGCTTGTTTTAACAATCGGAAACATAACATTTTTAACAAGAAAAGTAATTCAAAGTTCCTTAATTAAGCCCTATCAATTTATTTCTTGAGTTACAAAACTAATCATATTCTTTTTATAATGTTTACTCATGCACTTTTATTGTTAACGCTATACTCATTTCAGTATAACACAAAACTCATGTGTTAATAATGAGCACACAATTATATAAGAGAAATTACTCAAAATAGGACTAAAAACGTGTGTGTATTCCAAAATAGGACTATCTTGGTTTTATTCCCAAAATAGGGCTAATTACTGTCATTTTTGGCAGTACTAGACTTTAAACATGGCGGTATTTTTCCAAACTTGGCAGTAATTACTCCTATTTTGAAAATAAAAAAATGGCAGTTCTATTTTGGAATTTTCAAACTTTTTTACTCCTATTTAGGGAATTTTCCCATTATATAAAAATAATTAACACACAAACTTTATTACATTTTTTAACATTGAAACAATTACATATTTATGATTAAAATAAATATTTTTTAAAAAACTCTTAAGTATTCATTTTAAAAGAAAAATTTTAAAAAACATTGATACCCAAAATATTTTAGAAAAAGGTTTATTAGAAAAAGGAAAAAAATAATGGTAAAGTTATTAAGAAAAAAGAGAAAAGAATAAAAAAGAAGGAATGATCTACGTATGTATGAATGGAAAAAAAAAAGAAGGAAATAGAACAAGGCTTGGAAAACATTGATCCAAAAGGTGGAATCTCCCACCCCATGAGCCCCCCACCCTGACTCGACAGGATGGTGGGGAGGTTAGTCACGGTGACCCAGTCAGCAGAATGGCAATAGGCTCATACACCCGTGCGCACCAGAGGCCCAGTCTTATTTCAGGTTCCGTGACCTCCACCCGGTCTCCCACCACTCGACCAACTGAGCTACCCGTGCGGCAAGGCTTGAAAAACATAGCAGTGGTACATAGGTGGGAAAAGAGAGCCATCCAAGATACAAACAATTACAAAAATACACATTTTTTTGTATACGTAGATCATATAAATTGCCCACACTTTAGCTACCACGTCATCAATGTCAAGAGGATATTTGACTAGGGAAAATTTGTGGTGGTGGTAGAAACGTATTGGCCTCACATACACATTTTCTTGAAAGTTCTTGCCCTAGCCCTAGCCTTAGCCCTAGCCCTAGCTTTCGCCCTAGATTCTTTAGCGGTAACATCTTTAAAGGACCAGTCTTTTCCCCTTTTGTTAGCCTTTCCCGTGGACACTCCGTCATTCACGGCGGAAGACGTCGAGCTGTCAGCGGCGGCGTGGGTTAGCTCTTGAATGGCGAGCTTCGATTTGGCGAATAACCAATTTAGGGTTTTGCTGGGCTTGTCAAAACCCAAAGTGTCTTGAAGATGGAAGAACTTTTGAGCTATGGAGATTGAGAGCCTGACTCTCCGATCCCTTTGACCTTGAGCAGTCATTATTTTAGTACGGTGGTCCTTTTCCTTCGCCGCCGTGTGCTCCGGCCTGCCGGGAAGCAACAAGGCTTTCTTTTTTATACAGTGATGGCTGGTATTGCCGGCACTATCATTTCCATAACTATTATGGTCTTTGTTGTTGACTTCTTTGTTGGTGGTAGGGTTGACCAACGTATTGCATGAATATTGGTGGTCCCGGAAATCAGGAAGGAGGATCCAGTTATACCCTCCGCCGTGGGAGGTGGCGGAGCTGGCTGAGAGGTGAGTAAGAGTGTTTGGTTGGGTGGTGGAGAACATTATTATATTGAATTATTAATAGAAATTGCTCGGGTGTTTTTAACCGTAATTCATCCCAGACCAGACCAGACTAAACAGATCAGACCAGACCATATTTTATTTTTATAATTATCATCGTCGTCATCGTCATCATCATCATAACCATCATCATCATTATCATTGTTATTGTTATTATTATTAGTATTATTTGTATTATTAGTATTATTACTATTATTACTATAGAAATTAGTTCAAATAGGACTAAAACTATGGCAAAAACCAAAAATAGGACTTGTTATGTTTTTATTCCAAAATAGGACCATATGAGTCCTATTGGAAACATACCTATTTTTGCATTCCATTCTTACCCTTCCATTAAATGTGAATTAAAAATAGTCAAAAGCCATAATTAAATGTTTAATTCATAATAAATTTGAAAAAAATTCAAAAATTCGTAGAAATATAATTAAAAAATTTATAAAATTTTTATAAAATAAAAAATTCAAATTTTTTTTTAAATAATTTTATTTTTAAAAAAATTAATAAAAAATAGTAAAACTCCGTAAAAAAAATTTAAAAAATATGGATGTCTTTCCCACCGCCTGTACTACCTCCCAGCACCACCACCTCCGGCCGATGAAAAAAAATGTCATTTTCCCAGAAAAATGCCATTTTTTTCTGAAAATGCCAAAAAAGTGGCATATTTCTCTTTTCGAATGCCAACATTTTCATTTTTTTCTGCCATAAATATGGCATTCGTAATGAACTTGGCATTTTTTCCCCTGGTGACTGGAGGTGGTAGTGCTGAGGCGGCAGAGGCGGCGGCGATTTTTTGTTTTTGAGTTTTTATTTTTTTTATTTATTTTTTTAATTTTTTTAATTTTTTGAAAAAAAAAATTAATTAAATTTTTAATATCGAAATGTTTTTCTTAATTTTTTAGTATTTTTTACGATTTTTTATTATTTTTTATTATTTTATTAGGAATTAAAACATTTTAATAGCTATAAGGGTATAATTGTCCAAGGTACACATAATTAGTCATATGCAAACATAGTTTATTTTTTGGTCCTATTTGTGAAAATTGAATGACTTTTAGTCCTATTTTGATAATTAACTCTTATTACTACTATTATTTTTAATTATAAATGAATACTCCCTCCATCCCTTAAGACTTTGCCAAATTTCCTTTTTTGGATGTCCCACTAACTTTGCCACTTACCCTTTTAAATAAAGAATTTGTGGTTCCAGTTAATTCCCTCTCCTCTGCACAAACCTCAACCACACAGTTTTTACTTTATTAATTCTCGTGCCGGTCAAACTTGACAAAGTTTTATGCGATAGAGGTAGTAAAATATAATTATTTATGGATTATAATATATATAAAAAATAAAATCTTTATGCAAAAAATATAAAAAATAAAATTTCTGACCAGACCAGATCATATTTTATTATTATTATTATTATCATCATCATCATCATCATCATCATCATCATCTATCATCATCGTCGCCGCCGCCGTCATCGTCGTCTTCATCATCATCATCATCATCATTGTTATTATTATTATTATTATTATTACTATTATTACTATTATTACTATTATTATTTTTAATTATAAATGAATAAAATATAATTATTTATGGATTATAATATATATAAAAAATAAAATCTTTATGCAAAAAAATATAAAAAATGAAATTTTAGACCAGACCAAACCAAAACAGACCAGACCAGACCAGACTAAAATAGACCAGATCAGACCAGACTAGACCAACAATTTACAGTCCAAGTAAAAACATCCTAAATAGGAGCAAAAATGTTTTGAAATTCCAAAATAAGAGTATCATGTTTTTTATTACTTGAATATGAGTAATCTGCCAAGTTTGAAAAACAAATGTCATATTTTAAAGCCTAGTAATTCCAAACTTGGCAGAAATCTCTCAATTATTCAATTATTAAAGCATGTACTCTACTTCCTAGAACTTACTATTTAGAGAAATAATTGAAACAATGGAGAACGACAAGAGGAAAAGGAAAGAGTTAGGTGGTTTCAAATCACACCAGACCAATCACTGAGAGTCCGTATATACCTATTGGATTGCTGTGGCTGTGTGCTTAACGTTTACTCATCATAGACCCATCTTTCACCCACTTGCCAAAACATGAACATACCCAGACTTGTCACTGTTGCTTCTATTCCTTTTGTTTATCCAAAAGGTTGAATCCCCAACTCTAAGGGCTCCACGCCCCACGTCCCGACAGAGCACATGGAAAGTTGTAAATTACGGTGACTCAACCAATCCTAATGGTGATAGACTTTATACTTGTGCGCACCTGAGGACTAGCCCAACACATAGGAGTTGTGACCTCCTGTAACGCTCGTACTTTTTATATACTACCTCCGTCCCTTAAAACTTTGCCAAAGTTGACCGTCACGGAGAATAATAAAGTAAAAACTGTATGGTTGAGATTTGTGCAGAGGAGAGAGAAATAACAGAAACCACAAAATAATTGATTAAAAGTGAAAGTGGCAAAGTTTTTTGGGACGTCCCAGAAAGGAAAGATGACAAAGTTTTAAGGGACGGAGGGAGTACTTATTTGCTGATTAATTTTATATGTGATCATGTTTTAACTTATGGTTTGAATGCTATATACATATGTGAAGTATATGAATATCATGTGATTGTGAACCTTGTTATAATTGTATTTGAAATTATATGCTGGTATTATGTTAGAACGTGACAGACGATGATATCCGATGAGCAACGAAATTACACCGTAATAATCATTGGTACTTTGAATGTAACGGTATATCAAGTTATTTGTCCCATTAGATAGTATTCGGATGTTTAAAATGTAGTTTAAATGTCATCGGGGGTCAAGGGTGTGTGATATTCATGTAATTTCCGATTGTATGTTTGTATTTTAAACTAGTTTTTATTAGTTCTAGTTGAGGAAATTACACACTTTTGGTGTAATACTTTATTTTCATATTTATTTGTAATTTGTTTAGATTAGGACTTTTCTGAGCTAAACAGGTCAAAGATCATCCAAGGGATCAAGATTGGACCTTAAAAGATCAAGGAAAGTGCGAGGCAAAAAAGATTTCGATTTGGAAAAAATACTCATGTACCCGGTCGGGTATTTCCTATACCCGATCGGGTATTTGCTTGATTCGATTGTCCAAATCAAATCCGGGAACAAATGATCGTGGGAGCAAGATTTCGTTAAGATTTGTCACATACCCGATCAGGTATGCCGACATACCCGGTCGGGTATGCCCAGAAAAGTGACTTTCTGGGAAATTTCCTAAGATACCCGGTCGAGTATCCTATATACCCGGTCGGGTATCAGCCCCTGCAGCTCCCAAAAGCCTATAAATACACCCCTTTCCTTCACAATAAAATGACCAATTCACATATACTCTTTAGCTCAGTTTAGTTAAGTATTTCTTTTATATTTTTAGCATGTTTAGTTTCCAAATGAGGAGCTAAACTCTTCCATCTTGGTTTTGCTACTTTGAAGCTTAATGAATTTGTAAGTTGTGAGTTATTCTCTTTAATTTTCTTCCTTGAATATTAATTCTTCCTTTAAATACTATTTCTATTTCAATGTTGGGGAGTGTTACTAAGATGACAATTAGTTAACATCTTGACAATAGTTATAATAATACTTATTTCTTCCTCTATGTTAATATTGGGGAGTGCTACTAAGATGACAATTAGTTAACATCTTAATATTAACTATGGTAGAATTCATCTTCTTTAATATTCTTCCTTGAGTATTAATTAATTCCTATCCATATTTCATATTAATATTTTGAACATTACTTAAAGGATCAACTAGTTTTATTTAATATATTAATTATTACTAGAATCGATCGATTAATACGCTTGTGTTGAAGAAAATTCTATGTAGTGTGCTATCGTGTATATAGAATATGTATTAGGATCATTCTATGTAAACTATCTATTATATGGACCCATTGGTCCATCTATGTAAACCCTAATATCTCCCTATTTATAGGGCCTTTGATAATGAAACTATACACCCAATTCTCCCTACAACACGTTATCAGCACGTAGCCCTAAACCTATTTTATTCTCCCGTTCTCCCTACACTCAATCCGCAGCCGCGCCTCCAGCAGTCCAGCCGCGCCGCCAGCAATCCAGCCACGCTTGGCCACCTCCCAATACACCGACCGTCGCCCGGCCTCACCCCTTCCTAGCCTGCGACTCACCAATTCCCGGTTCTCTGTTGAGGTATTTTTTTTACTCAAAAATCATTGTAGGATCTTATGTATATGATTTATTGCATCATGTTTACCATTGTGATGAACATCATTGATTTTTTTTAGAGATTAAGTTGTCAATTTTTTGAGATCCATTTCTTGCACCTCAAGTGTTTGATGATATGCCTCATCCATTTTTTTTTTGAGAGATAGATGCAATTTTTTATTATAATTTCGTAATGCTATATGTTATAATCATATAGTTGGAATTAATATCACATTATGCATCCCTCTTCGTTTTTATACATCTATGTGATCATACTTTTTCGTAAAACTGTATGCCATATACATATAGTTGGAATCAAAGATCACACGATTAATCTTATTTTCAGATATTTTATATGATTATATGATTATACTTTCCGTAAAGCTATATGTTAGATATATATAGTTGGAATTACAATCATATTATGCACTTTTTTAATTATTTTAAACATACTATGTGATTATATTTTTCTGTAATGCTATATGTCACTTACATATAGTTGGAACCATAATCACGTAAGATTACTATATTTTATGCCTAATCCGTTCATTAGACCAATATTAATACTTTCTATAATAAAAACACCATATAACATCCTATAAAAATCTCTATGATTTTTTAAGGAGGTGAATATATATCTCCTCACTTCGATGCATTGTAAAATATTGTCTACAAAGAGACATACTCTCATGATTATTTTTTTGTGATAAAGAATTTTCACACAAAGAATCGATTTTGTTTATACACAAGTTTCTGTTTTATATCATATGAACTACACAAGTTCATGAATGTACTCATGATCATGTAATTTTTTTAAAAATGGTTGACCATCTCAACTTGTATTTGGCATTTTGGCCTCGGACGGATTTGAGTACCATTATTCAGTTTTCTATATTAATTATTTGTGTAATAAAGAATTTCCACACAAGGCTCTACAAATTTAATTGACCAATCAATTTGACCGGAGTTTGACATTATGCACTCAAATGAACTTGAGTATCTTCAACGCTTATTTTAGAATTCAATGCTACTCCGGCACACTTTGTGAAAAGCAAATCACAAAAGCTTATTTAATTTAATAGAAAAAAAATTAACCATTTTTACACATACTTCTCTAGACATATACTAATGCACCAGTATATATTAAATAATTATGTAACTAACTAGCTTTTAGCTGGCACTAGTGAATGATGTTTATTGTTATTGTGTCTTTTTTTTTGAAATGCAATTACAATATTTTTTTGGGGATAAAGAAACCTCCCAAGAGTTATTTGGATAAAGAAATTTCCAAATAAAAAAATTTGAAAATATAAATTTTAAAGTAAATCCCTTAATATAAGATGATTAAATGTGATTATCTCGTCAGGATATATATTACTTGAAAATATACTTTTAGTTTTTATCTTCGTAGAATCTCTAAAGAATAAGAGATTCACCGCATGAGAATATAAATTAAGTTTCATTATTGTCTACTATTTTGAGAATAAGAACACTCTCTAATTATTGGGTTTATCCATTTTTATTTTACTCTTTCATGAGTTTTAAAAATATGAACATTACTAATTCTAATTAGACTTTTATTCAAGTCTTACAGTTTGGTATAAATTATATTCGTTTGAGATTTTTAATTAATTTAACATCTCATTGTTCCATCTGAAATTATATTTGAGATGTTTATGCATTCGAATTCATTACATGCATATCTTTGAATTTTATTCATAAAAGAATGGATACAAAGGAATATATCCACAAAATAGTAGAATGATATGTACCACAGACAACTTGGGGTCATAGCACTCTAAGGTATATGGGTGACATTTGTAAATTATTGAAATCTGTGACAAATAGGTGATTTAACACATTGTGGTGATGTACAATAAATTAAGGAATATATTTATCGAAGTAATCCTTAAAATCAGTTATGATTGAAACAATTGTACCCATGTCCTCACATAGAATGGAGTCATGTCATGAGTTTGAATCTGGTGACCAATCTCTTGTCAAAGTAACAAGAATGACCTTATATACCTTTGTGGGACTTCCCCGAACCCTCACAATGTGAGGACGCCAATGTCCACCAAGGTACCCTCAATGTTTTTTTTACATAGAAACTCACTATAAAAATGAAAGAAAATATTAGATTGCATCTAATAAATGCAAAAGAAAATGCATATTTAAGCAGGTTATGAGTCAGAGTGGTCATTGACTCGTACAAACTTTGAAATAACTCATTTAGGTTATTAATTATTCGAATAAAGGATGATATGAGATCCAACACAATGTAAATTGTTGGTTTTAGCATTGATATATAGAAAAACAATATCAATCTTCTAAAGTACGAGAAGAAATATTTACCATTCATTATGCTTTACAGATATAGTAGAAGGCACGTCAGTTATTTCTTAAAGTTTACTCCTTAACAAAAATAGAATCGAGACATGTCCACATATGCTAAGGAAATAACAATAAAGATATCTCATTTTTTCAATACAATGTGATATGTGACGACTCATCTACCAAAATGCGGGCCATTTAAGAGATTATGGTTTGATAGAAATTTACTCATGCTGTCTATTTTCCTGTTGCATAAAAATGTTACATTTGCAAAACTTCTAGCAAAACTTGTTTATTTAAGGCCCACCACCCGACCAATCAAATCTATATGACTTGTTATGGCTAGACATTTCTCATCAAAAATACTTGATGATTATTGCATATATGCCGAGATCAGTGAAAGGATCTCTCATCCCATGTGCAAAATAAGATCTCAATGAAACTCACATTTAAAAGAATATAGATGATGAATATTATATCTACTATGCGCATGTGTATATATAATTATTTTCATGGGATTATGCAATATTGCAAGCACCCCTGCACATTTGTTTTTAAACCGATACTAGACAACCACGTTTATGTATACCAGTTGGTGACTGGATATATATTAGCCTGAGATGTTCTACTTATGAATATGTGGTTGTTAAATAGTTGTGCCTATTGCGTCTCCCACAACGCATTATAATCGGTTTTAAAAGAAAAATGATGTTTATGTTGGATATGAATCCCCAACAATAATTCGCTACTAGCCTTAACAAATAATGTGTACACCGCTTTGCGGGATATGACTTTAATGAGACAATTGATTTTCCTATCATTAGGGGGATATTAGAGAAAGAACTCTCTAATTGAATGACAAAATCATTATGATGGTATATCACTACTTTGTCTCAATGATAAATCTTAGACTTCAAAATGTAACATTGAAGTTAAAGTGGTATCATAAATGATTTAAGTAATCAGATTATACACACTAGCGGCAAACATATTTATAAGTTTGAATTTAAATTAAAAGAAACAATGCTAAAGGAAGAAGCATTGCAATCACAAACAGTGGGATTGTGGTTGAGGCCGTGGCTCTCTAAAGGAATAGAGGGAAGCCACATGGTTCGATTAATTATCCACCCCAAGTAGTAGAGGGTAGATAAGGCACAAACCAATATACTCGTTATCATATGAATTCCTCTCATGAGATTATCTCTGATTAAACATGTCCATGAATTTATAATGGGGGACGCCCCGAAGTTTAAATGATTTCAGAGAATTAAAATCTCAATGTTAATGAGAGTGTGTATGAGTCGAGTGATAGACCTTACACTTATACTGACGATATATTTATACAGTTGCTCAAAGGAGCATAGAGCACGATGATATCGAACCATACTCTATTGCAATATGAAAGCAATGAGAATATTGGCCTAAATGCGTACAAGTAATCCAGGTATAAATTTAATATTTGACAAAGAGACAGGTATTTGGTATGATAGTGCTAATCAACCAAGTGTAAAGCCTGTAGGACATGAAATATTTCTTTGTTAGAAAGCGTACTGAGATAATGAGGTCCTAATTATTCTAACAACGCCCTGGATTCAAATATGAAAAGTTATACCTCTCTATTTTGTCCACAAAAATGTTCAACTACTTAATCTATAAGTAGACTCCAAAGTAATGGAGACGCAGCTAAAGATTGTGGACATTAAATGTCCTAACAGAATTTCATTAAATAGATGTATATGAAGTATTTGTTATGTTTTTATTATCTTTAATCAAGTGGTTTTAAATTACATTGTATATTTACATTGAAACGTTCACATTTGGATTAAATTAATCTAGACGAGAGTGACATACCCGTCTAAGTGACCACTTGACTGAAAAGGGATAGAAAAAGATAGATTATGTTTTCCCTCCAAGTACCATTATATGTCAAAGATATAGACATAGTATGTACTCATATTAAAGAAAATGAGAAATCTTAGATACTTGGAAGTCATAATTTAGATA